GCTGCTACTCCCAACTCGGGACTTGCCAAACGGGTTTTCAGTAATTCTGGTTTCCTGGATTTATTACGCCGAAGCTCCTATTCGAGATGGTGTAACCAAGATTACAGATATCTGGATCCAACTGATAATCTTAATGTTAACCGATACAGATCTAGTTTTTTCAAAATCATTGTCTGTGGGATTCGAACTCTAGACCTGCCGTTTGGGGGTGCGACAACTCCACCACTTCACTAAGTCGTCACACCCTTATATAGATATGTATATTGTAAAGCTATAAATTGATAATTTGATATATTTTTCCATGAACTGTTTATAATAATTCATTCGATTCTAATAAATGGCTGGTATTTATTATCAATATATAATTCAGGATTTTGTATCCACTTTAACATTACATACTATTGCTTACTATCGATTACTCTGTATCCTTGTTGGTCTAATAAATTTAAAATGTGGTTATATAATCTTTTTTGTAATTAATATTTTTTAGTATCTGCTCAACTTTTAGGATTATAATGATAAAACATTTCAGGTAAATTTTGAGCATATGCTGGTACATCTTTAGCTAGAATCATTCTCCCACCATATCCAATATAAGAAGTTTCAGAAAGTCTTATTTTTCGAGAAGTTATATCTAAAAACTTCTTGTTCTTAGAAGTATCATCATTTCTGACTGCTTCTCAGATTCTATTAGATTTTGATTCAGGCTTTTTCTTATAATTTTGATAGGCAGTTTGTATAATTCTTGCTTTTCTGAAATTGGTCTTTGGTTTATCACAATCATTATCCCAATGACTAGTCATCAAATTACTAGGTATGAGACGATCAACATATCTTTGTCTAGTAAAATGGAATGATTTTTTAGGTTGCATGTCATTAATTTTTATAAATTTCCAGCAACCAAAACAAATAGCCATATGACTTTTATGAATCTTTGGTCTGTAATAATCAAAATTAACAAATTTACTTTTACTATATGATATAAATAAACAATATTGATGATATATACTAAATTTTTATGAATTTAACAAATCTTGTAATGAAATTCTTACTCGTATTGCCCATTGAACAGGTGTTTCGTTCTGTTTTATAGTAGATAAAATATTAAATAATCTCTTATTATCAAAAATTTGATTGAGTTTATTAGTATAAGTTCCACCATAATGTGATATATATGATATAGCATACTTCATATCAAAACCAGGACAATTAAGGAAGTGTTTTATCTTTTTTATCAATAATAGTGACAATATCAAAACCAGACATATTATCGCTTATATATTTAGCAGTTTTAGTGTTTATGACCTATTAGATTTGGTACAATATATATAATTAAAACCAGATTCATTTTTAGTACGAATTGGGTTATTAGATAAGTTGTATATATTTGTTATATTTTGTAAGTAATATATAAATGAGAATGGAAGAGATGCATATTGGGTTGTAGTGAGAATTGTAGACCCGAGGGGTGTGAAAAATTTCACTTGTACCATTCTCGTATTCAAATTGTATCTTATATAAAAAATTAAGAAATAAGATTAAAATTATATTTTATGCGGTCCAATTAAATCATCTAATTGATTATTTTTGCAGACTTAACGAACTACCCAAGTCAAAGTACTAAGCCACCAGCAATGATGATTATGCCCTTTCGAATACACAACACACATAGTTAGAGACCCTATTGTCAAGAGGTGAAAACTCAAGCAAAATTTTTTGTATAACTATACATACCTGTAACAAGTAACCTGGGTGATTGATCTATTGACGCAATATAATCTTGTGCAAGAAAATAGAATGTATTACTTACCCAATTCATCCAGCATATCATAAAATTTTCAGATTAGATTGTAAATGATAATATAGCAACATGTTATGTACTTATGTAAATTTCGAGATAGATACATTCAAAGCTATTTTTTATCTTGTAGCTCAGTGAACTAAACTGCGAGAAACTCATCGGGTCTTCCTCTTCTTGCTACAAAGACTATTATAACTGACAATTATGCTCTCTAAAATTGGGTTTATAAGCAGAGAAAAAACTAAATTGTGGAGAGGTAACAGTCAGATCCCGGGCCTGCTTTGAAAAGCAATAACTGTACCTGAGAAGATTATGCATAGTCAGAGGCCCTATCGCTTCTATAGTTGAAACAAAATTTTTTATATAACTAAGTATACTCATAACAAATAGTTATGGCAATTGTCTTATCAACACAAAACAATCTAGTGTAAGAAGATAGAATATCAGTAAAAAATTTCAGACAGAAAGCTAAAAAAAAAGATTTTATATCGATATACATATTTATTTGAGCCTTATACAAGAAATGTTTCAAGTTGGTTATTGTTACGTGGCTTGTTATATTTGCTCTACATATATATATTAATATACAATTAATACATAACCTCGATTATCCTTTTTTTAGAAAAAATATTATTTGTTTTTAAGAGGCAGTTTACTTAATCTATAAATATTTGTCTGGCCCATAGACACTGTCGAAGTTTCGATGTTCTATGTATGTATTAGATATCGGATATTCGATCAACATACCAATACGATTTATACCGCATCACAATTTTTCTAATTCGATGATTTTTTTTAGACTGAATATTCGAAATTCAATAAACATTTGTCTATAACGATATTTTACCTACGTACTTCAATAGCAATTCAACAGTGGCTTAGCAATTTATAGAATTGTTATGCCAACAGAACTTCAACAGTAGCTTAACAGCAGTTATCCTTATTCATAAACACACATGTGTACTATTTTAACATAACATGTCATTAGAATAAAAACTTAATAATAGCTTGCATTAAATTTTATATGGTATTACCTTAATTTCTCACGGTCAGTTTTTTTTATTAACAAATAAAGTGAATAATGGCTAGATCCTTTTCCTTACTTTATACGATCCCGCAATAAGAATGGAACTTAAAAAGGTTATAAGGGTAATACGTATAATGTTTTTAATCAGTAGTTTGGTCCAAATTTATATGTTGCAGGAACTTGGAATTCCCAGATCATCAGATCTAAACCCACCTTAAGCAATGGTCGAATCTAAGGGGGTTAAGTTTACCAGAAAAAATAACAAAATAGGCTCAGTGTTTGAAACTTATAACCGAGCGGAGTTGCTTTGTTAAGTGTGGTATGGTATTGTATTAGGGTAACATAATTACTAAGCTTGTGATTTTTCTTCTGACAGGTTCTCTAGATCTAACGAATATGAAGTATAAAAATAAGCATATTTCCATCTTAAGATAAGTTAGCAATAACATTATTTTTTTGCTTATATATTTTTTTCTTGATTCTCTTGCACCATATTTTTTAGGTAAATTGCTATTTCATTTATTGGAGACTATGAAAATGAATTTTTTACTTACTATGATTTTTTTTGTTCTTAGGAACGAAAAATGAGCAGTACTAATAAAACCACCACCCCACAACTAATAACACCAACACCACCCCCAAGACTAATGACGCAACCACTACAAGTAATAACACCACCACCTCCATGACTAATGATAGTAACACCCCCAAGACCAATGATAGCAATGCCCTCACGACTAATGATTCTAACGCCTCAGGGGTTGTTATCCCAGTAGGTTATGTACCTAGAACATATAGTCCCAGATCTTGTAAGTAAAGTTTACATTGTGTAAATACAATCACCAGGGACTTAGTTTTCTTTTCTATTCAAAATAGATCATATCTCCGATAAGCCAATTTTGCATTATTACGGATATAGAGATAAGGTTGACCATTCTCTTGATAGTTATATGTGGTATTCAACTGGTGATGCCGATTGTAGTGATCAGGATGATTATGATCCTTAATGTATAATCAGAAAAAAATTTATTATTTATTTTTTATTTGTATGTTATATTGTTGTTCGGCAACAATTTTTTATGAAATAAAGAGGGGGGTCCGCTGGGCTCCTAATTTTTTATTTTAACGTGATTTTTGCAATGCAATTTGTGATTATTAATTAGTAGAGATAATAAAGTCATACCTAGTTTCCTTATTAACCTATGCTTTTACAATTATTATTTGGGTTGAATAAGCTAGCATGGCTAAAATATTTATAGGCCTGTTTCTTTTTTATATCAAAAATACGAATTATTCAAATTCGTTCATTAAAATAGATAAAAACCGTGACAAAATGTCACGATCATAATTATACCATATCTATTGCAGAGTAATATCGAATAATAATAAAAACCCTGAGGATAACTTAACCATAGCACACGAATTTTGCATAGTAATTCTTAACTCGTGATTGCTATGTGATCAGATAATAATTCGCGGATCATGAGTCATTGAGTCATTTGCAAACCGAGGTCACTCTATGGTGCTTATCATTTTGCCACCCAATTATTTACAAAAATAAAGCTAGGCATAACAAGTTGACAAAACATTATTAGCCTTTATTACGCATTAAGTATTAAAAAATTTTCATTCATACTATTTAAATTGAAATCGAAATCAAAATAATTGCCGATCATAACATGGTATTGTTATTTTAACACTATTTTTTATCTCATTAATCATATCCTTTGTACGTGATTTATTTGGTGTTGTAAATGTGTTCGTCGTAATATTGGTGGGGGGTGTGTGATATCCATCATCACTATTATCAAGAAAGGTTTCGATCTTTAAATCATCTTTCTTATCAATTACATCCATTGTTGCAATGATAATAGATCGTGCATATAAAACCTCTTTTAATACCAGAGCAAGTGGTTTGGAGTTTGTTAATCTACCGGCAACTTCTTGAACATTATTACGATTAATTCGAGTGATGTATCCTTCAGGATGATCTATAGTTAAGACTTGCAACCTGTTTGCACCGTGGAGTATTCCTATTACTTTTAGTTTTTTTACTAGATTTTCTTTCATTTTACATTCTCTAATTAATTTATCTAGCATATCCTTTAACATCTTAGATATTTTAAGTGAATCGGACATATATTTCGTACCATTTATCTCTTCCCAATTCTTGCCAGCTTCAATTGCACCGAATTCTAAACGACCTTTGTGTAATCTAAATACACCATCACCTTTTCTGCCAAATTTTTTGTGATCATTAATTTTTCTTTGAATGTTCTTTCTTTCACTAGAAGCAAAGCTCATTCCTTCTCCACGAATTAAGTCAATATTTAAATTATCGAATGCGGGATCTATAAGTCGGCCCCAGACGTTCATTTCGAACCATCCTTCTAGCTTTAAGGAGTCAAAAGGATTTTCATCCATTTCCCATAAACGTAAAATTCCACGATATGCATTATTTATATAATCAAGACAGAAGAGAATATTCCGATTATATTCTTTACCATCAGGTATAAATAATTCAAAAAGAAGTGATTTTAATTTTTTAATATTATTAACAGTATATTTTCTTAACAACTCCTTGTGACAAGGGTCAAGTTTCGGTCTATCTATAACTTCGAGATTTTTAATTTCTTTCCATTCTTCGGGTGAAAATAATGATTTTGTTTCGACATCGGCATCATTGATTATAAAAGAATGAAGATATGACTCTCTGTTAATGGTGTGAGCGCAATGCCGTAATTGGTCGTAATTTTTTTTCAAGAACTCAATTATATCGTGATTCAATAATTCAAATTGGACGAATTTGGTATCATTCGATTCGTTACATCGTGACGAATCGAATGGTACCAAAATCATTCAATTTGAATCACTGGATCGCAATATATTCTCAAGAGACTATTTAACGAATTACGGCAGAATTACGGCACGTTTGCCGTAATTCATTGAATGATTATTTGTGAATACCTTGC